GCCTCTCTCGCCGGCCACTTTTTCAAGATCCGTTTCCCTGTTCCAAAATCTTCGTCACCTCCCTCGACCAATTCCGGGAGGCTCTCTTTCTCTCGGGGTCAACTTCAATTAGTCGAGATCATGATTAATTAACCCATAACCCCGCCTTTTTTTAATGGACGCTAAGCTCGGTTTCAAGTCTCAGAATTCCGACTTCCCACGAAATTGTTCACCCAGCAAAACTTCGAAAGCCTTTTGTTTAGATTACTGTCGCCACTCTACAAGTCTTTATGACCTAGGCTGTTTATCTTATCCAAGATTTCCGTCCAACGGTCCCGTATTTGAAATAATAATATATGACCCACAAGTGTTCTTACATAAACATTTTCTCCTTCTCGCTAGTTAGCCAATAAATTTTAAACTGTTATTTCCTTCGTGACTGAAATCGTTTTTTTTTATTTTTTTGGATTTCATGCAAATGATTCTATGTTTTAAGATACTGACATTGCTAGGTATTACACTTCGACAATTGCGGAACTAGCCAAAGGTTACACCCATGCTCAATCCCTAAAGAGATGGAATGAGATCAAAGGATACAATCCTACCTGGATCACCCTTGGCGACCCTGGGAAGATGGCGTCGAAGACATATCTGACGATGACCAGGAAAAATCTACGCTCAACAGTAGGATTTCTGACTGGCCACTGTCAACTAAGGAAACACCTCCATAATATGGGGCAAGTGGACAAACCTTTATGCAGGATATGTCAACAGGAAGATGAAACTGTCAGGCATGTCCTATGCGAGTGTCCGGAGTTATCCTCAATAAGAGAGTGTGTGTTCGGCTAGTCTTGGCCTACACCTGCTGATATACAGGAGATGTCTCCCAGTGACCTGTCCACCGTCCTGGAAAGGACAGGAGGGACGATGACCTAGAAGGACAACTCCTCGGGAGGATGTACAATGGGTCATATGTGGTCTAAGTGCTACTCTACAGATACAGACATAAGGAAGTCGGCGGCATCATTGCCATATAGTAACATGGTCTGTTTTTGATGGGTTTTTGCCTTTGGGAAGTGTGGGGGTGATTTATTGTCAAAATTTGACAACAAACTGAGTAATTCCGAATGTTTTTCAGTTATCCTGACGTCATGAAACAAAGCCGGAAGAAAGATTGTCACGACGGATTCGAGAATATCGAAGAACCTTCTTCTGCAGTCGGCGGTTCATCCGTGACTCTTCCGTGGCCGGGCAGCAAGAGCGGCGACACTGGAGGTTGCAGTGTCGTTCGTCATGGACCTCCTTCCGATTGTACGTCAATGTCGGCAGATTCACCAGGATCTCGACAGTCGTCTGTAGTAACAACGCAACGGTCGACGGTATGTTATTTTTCATTAAGTAATAGTTTTAGTTAACAATATTTTACGCCACATCGAAATGATGGAGAGAGCCAAGTTAATGGTGCTATTANCATAAATCTATAAAGATTTGAGGACATCCTGTGTACCCTAATCAAGAACATAAACAATGCTTGCGTGGAGTTTTCGATCAGTGAACTTGCTACAACAATAATTATGGTTAAATAAATTATTGTGGAGTGACCTTTAATTAACAATGCATATTTTACTTGACTATTAAATATCACTTACAATACACCTATCCGTAACGATTTAATAAACTATTTTATAATTATTGTTACCTAACCCTTCTTTGATTCAGCACCATAGCATTAGCTGTAAATGTGTACAACAGAGATATGAACCTTGCGACTGAATTTTTCATCCTTAATCGAATCACAAGGGTCAAACATACCACGTGTATTATATCATACGTTGGAGGCTTGTCGTCGCTCACGAGACTGCATTCTACGTGACGGTGATTATGTTGAAGAATAAATCATAAGAAGTGAGGCGGATTTCCACCAAACACCAAAATGAGAAACATTTTGAAGAGTTTCTGTCGCGAGCGACTGTTTCTGTCAACAAAGAAATGTTCCGTCGGCAGGCGGAAAGATCAATAGGTTTCGGTGTTTTGTCTGTGTTTTTGTAAACAGAGTTCGCTACGTGGTAACGGTCGACGAAAACAACAATCTATTCTCTGGTACCTGTAGAGTAGGGAGGGTGAGGGTATACTCACAGCACTTAGGCCACATGTGACCCATTGTACATCCTCCCGAGGAGTTGTCCTCCTAGGTCATCGTCCATCCTGTCCTTTCCAGGAAGGTTGGCAGGTGATTAGGATACATCTCCTTTATATTGGCAGGTGTAGGCCAAGACTCGCCGAACGCACACTGTCGTTGCACGGCTTCTTCAACCTTCTTGGGGTTCCCTCCATGGAGGTGCACAAGTGAGGAAGCTTTCCTGCAGGGGCAGCCGGTTCCTTGCCTTTATTCAAGGCGGAGCTCTTGGCGCACGCTGCAGGAAGTGCCCTTGCTGTTGGAGGTGATCTGCTATGTCCAGCCTCATTCCAATCGGTATATCGGGGTGGGCACTTCTATTCATCTCCAGCCACCGCTGTAGATTGAGGTGAGCACTTCTGTCCAGCCTCGGGATTGATTTTTGTTTTTGTTGTTTCTGTTGTTTCATTCATGTGTGTTTCCACGAGTAGCAAGAGAAGAGTTGGTCACCAGTTGACCAGTTGGTCAAGGGGATCGTTCGTGACCACATATCACCCTGCGGCCTTTCAGTAGTCGGCACGATTCCTTCCACCTTAGCTTGGGTAGGCTGGTCCACGGAGGCATGTTTTGCATAGGCTTTTGGGCGGCTCTGTCCGTAAGACCACATTGGCTTCCCGGACAGGGCCTCCAGTCCCCGGACAGGGCCTCCAGTCCCCTGGCCGTTTCCCTATCCACAACGTGGGGACACGCCCGATAGGTAGTCCAACCCACTGGACAACAATCAATAATCAATAATTATTCTGTTCACTATTATGTTTTGATGTGTGACTTCAATGTGACATTATTACTTCATTCAAAGTTTTCATCTGTGTTGGTGTAGATTTCAATGATCTCAGTTCTAAATTCATTCCTACGTCATCATTTATCAGTACTGCCATAATTTTATTCGTTCCATAATCCGTTTGTCTTCTTATAAAAATATTGTTCAGAGAAGTGTTGTGATTTATTTATTTCGGCTCACCAAACAAATGTTTGAAGATAAACTATGAGAGAGATGTCTCCCTGCGAAGATCTAGTTTCCAAACTTCACGCAGTTGCCTGTCAATTTAGGAATATAAAAGAAATTTTGAATCCTGATCAGTTGTAGCAGCTCTATTATACACAGGTAGAGAGTAGACTACGATACGGGGTCACCCTTTGGGGAACATCAACTTCATCGTCTAGTTGTTCTCTTCTCAACTATAGAAGATGAGAAGAAGAAAATCAAATGATGAAATATGGTTGGTAAAATGCCTTTAATATCATACTCAGTAGAATAGATAATTGCATGAATGTTGGAAATATGTGTGGAACGTTAACAAATGGAAAAATCCAGTTTCACTCTAGGGAAAAGTGCAAAAAATGACAAATTGCAAAGCTGTGATAGGCAGAAAATCTTTTTTTTTTGTGAGATTGTCGAAGATTGAGAATGACCTTCATGGACATTCGATGAATGTTAAAAAGCTGTTCAGTTGTTTCTAGGCTACAAAACAGATATTTCTAACGGAAAAATAATAGAAAACTTATTTCAGTTGAACCGGATTAATACAAATGACCATTTCCTTTCAAATTGGCTCCGAAATCAATGTGACAGCAAAATGAGGTAAACTTTTGAAATATTTTCGATCAACTTGATGTTTCGAGAAGCGAAGTACGATGTTTGCTCAGTTTTTGGATGTGAATACAAAAATTTAATTTTTCAGCAATTGATGTACTTTTAAATATTTTTTTGTTTATCTTGGAAATCCTAATAGGAATGGTACTTTCAAACTTCAACATCGAAATGTGTCTTTAGTATTACAGAAAAATATCAGTGAAGGAGTGGAAGGTTCAAAGCTTCGTACTTTATCTTTTTTCTTTAATTAACAAGCTTTCATTAGCTTCACCTGTATATATGTATGTTTGTTTGTTTGTTTGCTTGTAACTCTCGAGCTCGGGATCTGTATTTGACAGAATTATCGATATTACTGCTTGATCTATTCGCGGGTAGATGACGCTGTACGTAACTTCTTGATATTTCTTGATCTATTCGCGAGCAGATGGCGCTGTACGTAAATATCAATTATTGCTTGATCTATCCGCGGGCAGATGGCGCTGTACGTAACATCCTTGATATAATTCCTGCCTTATTTGTAACCCTCCTTTGCGCGCCTGCTACCTTGGACTTGGTAGCTGATTAGGCTTCCTCTCCGGAATCGGAAATGGTCATATCTTATTCAGGTCATCATAATTCATCTGTGGACAAATGCTTTCTTGGTGTATTTTGTCACAATAACCACACGTCTTGTGAGTATTTTGGGTGTGAGTATTGCATACTATTTCATTTCTCTTCATTTGATTTGTGAATTTCTGTGAGAATATTTCATTGCGTGGGGCACTAACATTACACGCAGAGCTTGCTTTCTCGTTCAAAACCACAAAGAGAAATCTTCTAAATTTATATCACCCTTAGAATTTATCGGATTCATTACTTCACGTGACGTTGGGTTTTGAGTTGTTGAAGCTGGGGAAGAAAACGTTCTGAGAACGTTTGCAACAGATCCGCAAAGCTGTTGTATGTCTCGTGATGTGATATTTCCTGGTTTCTCTTCGGGAAATTGTCCTTCGAACTTGGGTATGTTGTCAGTGGGTTCCTCAGTTTTTTCAGGAATACGTGACAGATTTTCTTTTCTATCATAATGAAATTGTGGTAAATTTTTGTTTTGTGGACACCCGGCGATTTTGAAAACATTTTTGACTGTACTTACGTATTTTGATGCGTAGATTACGAATCCGAAAGAAAAAAGCGGCGCTCTCCCTTATTTAAAAAGTTACGGCCCTTCAAAGTTCAGAAAAGGGCAACTTTTCAGCCTTCTTTTTCACTAAATAAACTATTTAAAAACACAAGCATTTATTCACTAGGTCACCTTTACACCTTATTCCTCCTTCTTTAACACTTTTCACTTCAATAATCAACATTTTTCTTATAAAAAA